ACCCGTACAAGCACAGGCCTTCGAGATTTACAACTTGTAAAATTACCCACACATGCATGGGTCTTTCGCATCGAACGGTCTCCACCTTGATCTAATCTCTTAACGATACAAAAATTTAAAATTTTACAAACAATAAATCAAGAGACTCGCAGGTCTCGATAAATTACATTCGTTTAATCACATTAGATAAAAATGCAACCATCAATCATATTGAATAAAAAAATACAATCATTCATCATTATGAATAAAAGGCTCATGATCATCCCTAAATCAACCATATAAATTCACTAATTTAATATGTTTGTGTAGTAATGACTCATATTAAGTCAAAACAGCTCGTTTCTGATAAAAAATCAGTCACACGACTCGTGTTACAAGTCACACGACTCGTCTGACATGTCACACGACTCCTGTGGCTCACTCACACGACTCGTGTGAAAAATACGAAAGTGACTATGAAAAATTTCAGAAAATTTTATGTCACACGAGTCGTGTCACACCTCACACGACTCGTGTGAGGTGACACGACCAGTCACACGACTCGTGTGACTTTCTCACACGGGTCGTGTAGCCCCACACGACCGGTCACACGAGTCGTGTCATTCTTCACGACTCGTGTTTTCGAATACTCTATTCGATTTTATTCCAGTTCGTGTTTTTAACAATTTTTCAAATCAAAATCTGATTTTAAAGATGCAAATTGTTACGTGGCTCTGATACCACTGTTGGGTTCGATATACCGTACGGAACAGAGTTTACAGCGGAATATAAAATTTTATAAGTATTTATCTTATAAATACTTATTCCGTACATAAGTATAACGATATAACGAATAAGCATCATTTAAAATCTAGTAACTTTTACTAATTTTGATTTGATATGTCATTTATAAAATTACCTTTGTTCTTGAACTCATTCAAAACCGACGATGTATGAGGAAATCAATTCCCGATTTGGTAACGATCACTTCTTGTTCTTACTCACTTTAGGAATCCAAATGTCTTCCCTCTAATCGTATCCACCTTTTGAACTTTGGTTCCGACTATAGTTTCTTCGCTAGTAAAAACTACTAGAATTTTATCTTGGAAGAATTTTTGCTCAAAACTTAGCAATTAATGTACAAACATTTTGCACCTATTTATACTAAACATTTTAGCATAAAATAATCAATATTTGATATATTTTATTTTAAATAAAATCAGATTTTATTTAAATAATCATACCAAATATTGACTTTTAATTAATAATGTGATTGGTTTATAACCACCATCAATCATTATATAATAAAAATAAGATTAATTATGTGGATTAGTTAATAACTCCTAACCACTATAATTAATTTATTCTTATTATTATTTAATCTTCAATCATAT